TTCTTTTTGAGTCAACAAATGTGCTGAAATCATAAAATTGAGATCCGCAATGTTGCTCATATTCAGAAATCCCAACTACTCATGCTTTGACGTTTCAAAAGAAGTTATGAAAATGAAAATGTCTGACTCATGTTTGAGTAACCTCAAACAAGCCTGTATGAGGCAACTTTTTAGCGTCATTTATAACTAATTCGTTTATTATCAGTGCGAAACCGAACTTTTTGGCAGAGCGAACCTCAACCGGAGCTGCGTTTTAAAAACAAACGAGCAAACTGACGTTTGTCAGAAAACAAGCAGACCCAATTTTGATACCCGATCCAGATTGGAACTGAATAATAAACGAATTCGCTATTAGTTTTTTGACGTTTGTTCGCACTTGCTCTATCTAGCACACAGGGATGAATCACTATTTGTCCTGCTGCTCGTACTTGTTCGAGATTGCGTTTTGGTGCGCTGATCAAACGTCAAAAATCTCAGTTCACTGGTTTCGTCTCGATCTACAGGTGAGGCAGAAGGAAACTAGCCGACTCTTTCTTTCTCTCGATCCGACGAGAACACCGGATGAATGAAACAGTCGACTTACGTTTCCTTCTGCCTCACCTATAGATCCTGCGCATCGGTCTCGTCTTTACGCATTTGATTTTTGGAGGTTTTGTTTCCATTCACGACGACTTCAGCGATGTCGAATTTGAATTTAAATAAAATTCCCTTGAATTTTCTGTCGATTGATACCTACTTCGAGAGGAAAAAACCTTTAAAGTGAAACGTGGAAAGAGTGACGTGAAAATACATATATTGAAGGAGAAAGTGATCTGCTTGTTATGCATGTCAGAGGCTAAGAAGAGGCCGGGTGATACCGAGGTCCGGAATTGTAAGTCGAAATGGATAAAATAAACAGACACATCTTAACCGATATCGAAGAATCTGGAGATTGACTTGATATGGATGAGCAAAACCCGTTATCTAGTATGGATGAGGAGCTAAATGTTCAACTTCCGAGTTTGTGTGAAATGAATGTCAATGTTCCGTCAAGGACCTAAATAAGCCCCAACACTTATAACAATCAGCGTAACACGTTAGCATTACTTACGTAAGATGATGAAAAGTCTCGAACTAAATAGAGCTGGCGTGAATGCTTTATTGAACCGTCTCACGATCTCATATTCACAGCACATGAGTGGGCGCTAGTTGAATACTTTCGAAACTTTCTTGAGCCGTTTGAGGTGAGTTTTTTTTTAAGTCGTGGTTCTGAAACTATAATTGTAAACTTTTGTTGCTATATCTCTAGCAACTAAGCCTACTAATAAGTTCCATCTGACCGATTGATGACCATATAGAGTTTGAAAATTAATATCCAACCAGTGCATTGAAGATCAGATGTTTGTTTACTGATACACTAGACATTCGATAGCTGAGAAAATAATGTTTTATTTTCACCTAACGAACGGAATTCACTAATTGAAATGCATTTAAAAAGCATCAGTGTTCATCCAGTTAGCCTTGACATTTTGAAATTGCATCATTTTGGCAGAAAATGTACTTCAACTGAAAAATTGTCTCAGTTAGCGGACAAGTTAAAAACGTGCCAGTTTAAAGTCGATCACGTAGCGAACGTCTAGTGTGAAAAGTTTCATTTTAGTTCCAATGTGATTTTACTCTAGTCTGTTTCTAAAACATGGTGACATAATGGTGGTGAAAAGATTGTAATAAAATTCCGTTTTGGTTTACAGATTATAGTAACCCTGTTGTCTGCTGAAAAGAATCCAACAGTTAACATTGGCATGCTCCTGCGATCTGAGATTGAAGCTTGTATCACTGAAAAAAAATGAGGACTTGCTTGCCATGACACACATGAATCTGGGGATGAAGGAGCATCTGAATCAAAAGTTTCCTGTTAAGGACCTAATTTTGATTTCGACTTTACTTGACCCTCGATTTATGAACCTGAAATGCATTAAAAGTGCTTTGGATGAACGCTCGATTACCAATTTCTTGTACGTACGTACGTACTAAATATATGATATGAATTTATTGTACGGACATCATTAACAACGAATATTCAAATGGGTTTCTAATCGGTAACTACATCAGATGAATGCGATGAACTTCCTTCTAAATCATCTTCCTCGTTGCTCAGTCTTGCTATGAAGCACTCAAACGTTGAAGATAGTGTGACCTCTGTCATCGAGAAAGAGTGCACCGCATATTTGGCTACGTCATACCCGAACAACGTTGTAGATGGAGATATTCTCTGCTTTTGGAAAATTAGAAAGCTTGGCAGCCTTGGTTCGCAAGGTCTCGCGAAAGGTTTTGTGTGTGCACACCAAGTGAACGAGTTTTTAACATAGCTGTGCCGACCGTATCTGCACGTCGGTCAGGCATCCACCATAAGAATGTGGATAAAACATTCTTAATTCATGACAATTACAGCATTTGCAAAAATAGAATTATGCAATAATCACTGGCTTACTGACGAGGATCGGATTTACATAATGGTGAATAAGGGACTATTATTAACAACACGCTGAAATTTGACCTTTTTTTTAATCTCTAACAGGTCCAAGTTGTGCGGGATTCTACGTATATCCGAAAGACTTCCTCTTCAATTACATAATTATATCATGTAATATAGGCTGTCTTGCAATGAGCACTCATACATCTAGTTTTTACTGGAAATCCTATGTATGAGTGCTCATTGCAAGACAGCATATATTACATGATATAAGCCATAGTCTGTCCAGGGTATAATGCTCAATAAATGATAAAAGATTACTTTTCAATATTATCCACCTCTACATAACGTACTTTTCTTATACTTAATAAAAAGGTTGCTAACACTTTGATATACGACTCCACCCCCTGCAAATATAAATAAGCACTTTATTTACTTTTCTAAACAAGTTCTGAATGCACGGCCAATGAAAACGACTCAAAATTGAGTAATAGTTACTCATATTTGAGTTCAGGTTACTCAAATTCGCGAAAACGTAGCTCACCCAGAGAATGAGTCAATTTTTCGACGCTTTTTCGAGGAAAACTTCTCGAATATGAGGAAAACTGAATGTGGTTGTAGTCGTTCCACTAGTGCACTTCTAAACGTGTGTAAAATTTTCTTAAATTTTCCACATATTCAAGAAGTTTTTCCCGGGAAAGTGTCGCAAAATTTATTCACACTATGAGTGACCTACGTTTTAGCGATTTTGAGTAATCTGAACTCAAATGTGGGTAGCATTTTTTGTACATGTGGGATTAGTTTGAAAGGTATTTTTTTTTCTAAATCATTAAAAATGAACTCACGCCGACCCACGCCGCCACGCCGCCGCCGCCGAAAGCAAACGGCGTGACGCCGCCACGCCGCCGCCGCCGGCAGAAAATAACATATCACGCCGCCGCCGAAAATATTTTGATCGGCGCACAGTAGAAATGTTGATGTCAAAACTGCATTAGAATTATTCTCATGAGTGCTTGATCATTGGAAAACTAATAATCGGTCGTTTCGTCTCTTGATAGTGAGAGGACCTGTTTTCTCATTGTCACATGACGGCCGTGATATTTACCAGCTCTGGTTGAGGCACATTAGCAGCCCTGTTTTATAACTTTTCAGATTCAAGCAGCACGATGTGCAACCAAATGGTACTCGATTATCACGACTGGGCTTGGGGAGAACGTTTATTTCATGAAAACAGTGATAAAATTATCATTTTTTATTTGTACATTTTTAAAACAGTTTTTTTATGGAAAAAATAAATAAAAAGCGTATATTGAAACAGCTTACGAGAGTTATTTCCCATCGATTGGTGTGTTTGGATTTTAATTTCATCTATAAATGACAAAGTTATAAGCGTTTAAAACCTTACACATTTTCGTGACGATCACAATTTTAGATTTTCAATTTACCACTAGTGCCTTCCCGTAAGACGTAGTCCACGTCAAAATCGTATCAAAATATGTTATCAACATGATTTCAAAAACATTATTCGATATCATTTTGATAGTAATTTGATGTCCGACTTTGCTCAGGATACGTCGGCACTGTAAAGTTTATTCGATTGTGCCTAGTAAAATAAAGTAATTATAATAATAATAATAATAATAATAAACTGGTTGGTAAACTCTCGAAAAAAAAAATTCCGAGCTATGATTCTTCAAACATTACAAGTTTGCCGTTGAACATTTTACAGAAGGCATCGTGTTCGGAGTGTTAAGGAAATCAAACAATGTACTCATATCACTCGCCTAGTGATCAATTTAAATTAGTAGCACGTCATTACAAACCATGTGACCTGCACTGTTCTTCACTCTGCCACCATCGCTCGTCCGTGGGTTAATCGTAAATGCTGGATTGTGGGGACGCAGGGTGTGCTACAAACAAAGCACTTAAGAAAAAGTGCACACTTGCACAGAAAGTAACCCCCTTCAGCCTTCACACCACTACCAACCACCGTTCAGAACGACCAAACAGTGGAATGCTGATGGTGGTTGGCACGTCATTGCTTTTGTTTTATTTTATTTTCGTACGCTCCTTCGGTGACCGAATCTCCAAATGGAGCCGTAGAATTCTTGCCGATAGTCATCATTAAAATGTGCTTGCACCCGAGAGATGTCGGTTGGGAAATTGCAGCGCAAGCACGATCTCCACCCATCTCCCCCACCCTCTGATGGAAGCTTTCGTGTGGCAAAGCTTACTGTGAACAATGCGTTTGGGTGGGAGAGAGCGAAAGTTTGGGAGAGATTGCGGAGAGCGTGCTCTGAGAGAATCAGTTGGTCTTTTATAAAATGATATTCCAGAAGAATTATGTCCCGGGTGCGTGTCTTTGCTGGGGAACATTGGTAGCACGCTAAGAGCTTTTTTTTTCCAGCGAATGGGGACGAAAGTGTTGCTAGTATTAAGATGGGTTAGTTTATTCTAACGACTACAATTAACGGATTTCTCTGTTTTCATTTTCAGGTGAGCAATTGTTCCTAATTTGAGAGAAAAACAAACGTGATTTTCCGTAACGGGTAAGTCGTGCTGTTTTATTTCTTTGATTGTCTACTGATGGATCACGCTTAATTTTAAATTTTCATGCAAGTGACCAGATTTTCTGAACATTTCTTAAGAATTAATGTAACTCCTTAAATTTTGCTACAAACCTGTATAAGCTTTTCATAATTTTCAGTCTGTAATTTAAAATGTGCTTTAATATCAAGAATGCATAGAGCTTCTCTCAATTTTACCAACATGTCGTAGGTAATTTTATGGGACTTAAATATAGTGTTTTCCTTCAACATAATGATTTCATAGCTGCCACCACTGTAGCTCCGCTCGGCTTGTCTCCTGATAAGGTCCTCCTCCACGAAGTCACTCGAAAAGAAGGTCTGAATCACGTGAACTTCTCGTTCCACCGGCTCATGTATTCCGGATTCCTCTGAGGTTTCGATCGCCAGCACAGCTACCTCATCGGTTGAAATTTCGTGCTCAGTGAGGTTCTCCCCATTTGACGCCGTTTCGATGGCTGTCACAATCATTCGTTTGAGCTGCGATGTAAATTCAATCCGGAATTGCCGCATCCTCAGCTTGTTCTCGAAGAAAACCAACACCGAGCAGTTTCTTTCAATGGCCGCGGTGATGCCGCCCATGATGGCAATCAACCACTCCAGTTGTGATGAAACTAACAAGAAGTTCTTCTTGGAATTGAACCTTGTTGGACAGAGATCTCCTGGAAGGAGCTCTTCAAACACGTGCATTTTGCTGGCAATTTTCATCATTGAGCTCTGGTATCGGTCCAAGGGCTCGCTTCCAAAGCTCAAAATCAACGGAAAACTGTTCAAAAGGTTTGCGTAGGGGAATGATAGAACATTCAACGATAAGTATCCGTAATTTTTGTGACCTCCTTCAATCTGCTGAAAGTTTGGCTGTTTCTGGTTCAGATAAGATGCCACATTGGTGTAATCAGCGAATGCGTTATCTGTTGAAGGCTGTGCCGTTTTAGGTCCATCGCTTGTAAGTTGCGAACGGCTGTGAATCATGGATTCCAAATGCCATTTCAAAAGGGTTTTGTTATAGAAGCCTTTGACCTGCATTGATGGCCCTACAGGTATTTTATAATATGTTGATGCATCTCGAAATGCCCGTAGCTTACACATTTCCGGAAGATCAGACAGATCGATGAATTTTTCGATTCGCTCCAAACTTATTTCCACGTCAGAGTTGAATATTTTCTCTTGTAGCAAGCCAAGCCCAGGAATGGTGGGGATCACGAACCGCTCGAATGCCTGTCCCAGTTTATTTTCCAAGAGCAAAACATCAATGTCATCGATGAGAAGAATTGATTCGTTATTTTGTTGCGGTTGCTGGTCTGAAGAGTTACTGTCCGCAGTTCCAAGTCCGAGACATTGGTTCATATGGTTGGTGTATTTTTCGAACAGTGCCTTGGAACATTCCCTAGCCATATCGTCCACCGATCCAAATGTCACCATGGAATCAAGGGTGAAGTTTTTTAATAGCTCCAGTAAAGTTGTTGCATTTCTTCTGGCTAAATTACTGTTGAAACAAACGATTTGAACCTTGTTTTTGAATAGAACGAGCAATGCAGCGGTTAATCCTAGCACCAGCTCCTTACCTTCTCGGGTGGACGTAATCAGCAGTCTATGTTTAAGATCATTTAGATCCAGTGAGAAAAGACGCAGTACACTATAAATGTGCTTGTAGCAGGGTTTGACTAAAGTGCTCCCATTTTTGGAAACAATGAGCGACCACACTGCGCTCAAACCAGCAAGAATTTTCGGCAACATATCTCGTTTGAACTTTTCTGTCCAGCCAGTTACAGGCCGTGGCATAGGACGAATAACATGCGAAACTATGTAATTGATTCTCGCTTCCCGTGTCAGTTCGTTAGTTTGCGTTATGTGCCTGTCGAATTCAGCTATATAATTCTTAAGCGCAGTTTCTAAGCATGTAGCTTCAGGACCCCCAATTTCGGAAATAAGCTTTAACGTCTCTTCATCATCGATTGAATTAATATCGAAATCCTTCAATTTCGAGTCGCTCACCTGCAACAATCTATTGCCAAAATCTTCCAGCGATCTACTCTTCTCAATTGCTTGGGCAAATGGTTCACCCATCTTCGTTAGAAATTCCTCGAAGCACGAAAAGTCCGGTTGTCCTCTGAGGTAGAGTATGGCGCTTCTGATGGAGTTGATCGAATAGGTCATGGCATCCAGCTGATCCTCAACGGATAGGCGGTGTCCTTCCGTCCAGCTTTGTTTCGATGCGAGTTCGTCTACGTATTGCAGCAACACCTGCACCACTTCGAGTTGATAGTGCCGGGGAATTTCATCGCCATCATGCAATGCTCGATAAACCTTAACGAATCCTTCCATATCCGCAACTTTCAAGCACTCATGTTCAGTGTCTTTCCATCGGTTGTCTACCGGAGCGATGAATTGGCCACGCAGCAACAGAGTACGTTTGTCCGACGGAGGAAGCTGTATGAGCCATTCGAACGGAAGGTCACTTATATCATCCAGAAGATGCTTGAAAGCCTTGAAAAACGTAGACGATTTATCCGATGAAACGTTTTTATTCGCTGCTTGAAAGATGATTTGCCGAAGTATAGCCTCAAGTTGATCGCAATCGATTCCAAAATGTTTCCGTGGGAGCTTTGCCAAACAACAGCTGATCATTTCATTGCACTCCAGCAAAACCGGCTCCACAGTGGTCCGATCGTGCTGAGACGATTTCATGTCTGCCAGCGATCTCAACGAATCGTGCGTGATTCTCCGGAGGCATTCCAATGTTTCGCTTTGAAAGTCCTCAGATGCAATGAAGCTCACGTAGGATTTAAAGAAACTCGAAAGCAACTCCATTTTGTCGAAATCGGCATCCACCAGGTCCTTCATGTAGTCATCCAAAAGGCACAGCCATATGCGAACTGATTCGGTGATCACGTCCATGTTCTGGAACAGTTTGAACTCATACGGGAAGCGGCTTGTGCGGAAAGGTCCGCCCGGTTCGAAGTGGTTTGCCAGCCTAGCTAGCATTTGAAGTTGTTGTCTGAGACATTTGCTGTATGGAGTTGGGTACTCTTCCTGTAAGTTGGTCACCTCCCAACCAAGTGCCTCGCTGTAGATGATTGCATTGTCAGTTTTGGTGTGTGCTCCAAGCTGCTCAGCTACTTCCTGCAAACTTTTGCACACGTAAAGGAAGATAGGATTGGACAATGGGTCGAGATTATTGAGTTGCTCGTCATTGATTTCTTTAGCTTTCGTCAGCAATTTGGAGAAGATCATTGGCAAGGCAGCTTCAAATATGACCTGGTTGAGCGTGGTCAACTCGTTAAACAGATTCACGTCCTCGGTGGAAACGTACAGAATGTGGTCGTCAAGCAGCTGGTTTAGTTTATCGTTCATGGTTGATGGACAAATGGCTGTAAGTTGAGCTCTATGGACGTTCAGTGCTTCCTGAATGGCATCATTGATGAACTCGTCTGACAATGAGGAATCGTTCAAATGACCAAGAATTTCATTCCGTTGGATCAATTTGAGAGTCATTGTGACATAGTTGTCAAGTGCCGACATTGTTTCACTTGATAGACGTGAACAGTGCAGTGAATAATCATGTTTTTTCAACAGAACGCGCAACAGCATCACATCTCGTTTGTGATCGATATTTGCCCCTGATGCTAGTTTATCAAGATTCACCTTCAGAACACCCTCTGCCTTTTTGCATTCCTCCAGCAGTTCATCCAGCAATACTTTCCCTACCTTCAAGTGGTTCAGAAGCATCCGCACTGCCTCCTCGAAATCGACAGCCCCGTCCAGGTCAACCGTTCCATCCATACTAACCTTAGCAATGTACCGTCTGTGCGACATCAGAAGACAATCTTCCCCGTTCAGCTTCCACAATTCATCACCCAGGTAAAACTCTCCCGAATACGGAAGACCACCATCGTCCAAATCTCGTCGCTCAATGAATTGCCGCCCGTCGTGGTGAACGATTGTAGCCATTTTGGAATGGAGGCTCACTTTTTGGAAATCCACCGAACTCACATCACTTCCTGCGATGCTGCTTCTGCCACCGGAATAGATTGACCACTCCAAATCCCGGGTATGCGAATCTCCGCCTTCGGATAGTATTTCAATCGAACCAATTGACGCATCGTCTTTTGCCGTTTCGTTGTCGTTCATGGTGTTTTGATGAAAACTGAAATCGTAAGTAAATCATTTTAATCCACTGCTGAAGTGCACTGATGATTAATTGTATTACTAGAGAAACTTCTGTGACAGGTTTCAGATCACTTTGCAGCTTTGCACTGTTGAAAACCAATCGTAGCATACAGAATTACTTGGTCTTGATTAGAAATACTCAGAGGGAGAGATGGGCGGAGAGAATGTTTTGAGCCAAATGAACTGTCATAATCTGAGCCAATCGAACATTCCAATTAGAATTTTTCTTATTCTTACTAGAATAAATTTGAGAGTATTGCAATCGAACAGAAATCCAATCACCTTTATGTTTTGTCTGCTTCTCAAATTCAACTAGTTTTTGGAATCAAAAACAATATTCTAACTCTATTGATTAATTGATCTTCGCCGGTTAACGAATGGCACCAAGAAATGTGCAAAATATTGCGATGCAATCAATTATTATTTTGCACCTATATCGAATAAAAAATACAAGTCATTTGAAATTTTAGCTTCTAGCAAGGGTTGCAAGATAATTTAGGAACAAATCCCTGCTGCCGAATTGTATTTTGTTTTCTCCGCCTATCTCTCCCTCTGAGCATTTCTAGTCTTGATACACTGTTATTGGCGCTGATGGATCCGTCGAAAAATTTGCTCTTCCAGTAAATATACACAGAAATTCAAAACAACCCAAAATTAAGTTCTTTTCACTCATCTCCCATGTTCCGTACGATAAGCCAAATTTGGGTAAACCTAAGAGAAAAGATGACAATACGGGGGCGAAAATGAACCACTTTTCTGTCAAACGTGAACCAGCTCCTGATTGGCTGATTTCATGTGTGTAAGATAGAGATAGAGATAGATAAAGATAGGGATAGAGATAGAAATAAAAGAGGAAGAAGCCAATTGTCACCTCTTCCTCTTAGGGGTAAACCGGCTCAAAGCAGTTTGCATTTAAGCACGGCAAAAAAAAATTTAAGAGCAAATTTTCATTATGTCGTAAGTAACATTCAAACCGATCCGAGAAAAATAAAGTTTTGTTTTGATGACCGAAATTTTTTTCCTATTTCCAATTAAACACATATAATCTCATAGTGATAGCAATGTTTAACATATTTAGCCGGGTTTTTAATCATACAAAGGCAAATCGCTAGCTTTCATGCTAAGAAATACTGGTTTTTGAGTCAAAAGTTATTATACGTCGTTTGGTGGCCCCTATTGTTACTTAAGTCAAAGTGTATTTACCAGGATATTCGGGAGAATTATTAATTACGTCTCCTTACGTGCAGCCCATTCATCATTTTAGGACCACCGAAATCATCTTAGCAACAAACAGTTCGATTTATTCACTTTAATAATGAGAAAGCGAAACGATGAAAGTACACTTTTCACGGGTTTCTCAGTGCTGTTACTTAAGGCAAACGGCATCTCCATAGAAATCGGTGACTTAAGTAACATCGAAAACTATTTTGATCGGAAGGTGATTACGTCAAAAAGCAATTTGACTGGTACATAAATTTAAAAATGGGATGTGATCCTATATTCGGACAGTAGGGTTACGGTATGTAATGTGGGTCTAGTCCTTTCATTCGGCCTATCACGCAAATAAATAATTAATTAAGGAATATTACACAAAAAATAAGGAAAATATTGATCACTGATGGTTGATAAATGTGTACCACACACAAATCAATTTATATCACAACATTTCAATACATTTTCAGCTCTCGTAAGTAATAAAACTGGTTGAGAATATCACAATGTTCGGAGTTTTTAGCCGCCATGACTTATAAGGTTAAGATGGGAAGGTTGACTGACGATCATCAAATGGCCTGATTATGGCATTTATTGATTGGAATTACCTGATAATACACACTAGACGTAAAACTTACAGTTGCTGTTTGAATATTTTATGTTTATTTTAATTGTTTAACAACGTTTTCACAAGTAAAACATGGACCCAACTTTAGGGACACATTTCTTTTCTATGTTCCTAACTATGGCCCATGAAATTCATTTGACAGCATATAGCAATAAGAGTAACGTCAACAATGTTGTTTTGCATTTGGATGATAAGGAACGAACAGGAAGGGAGATTTTTTCTGCCAAACCTGTATAATGAACATCACAATGTTCTGATTTAGATATTCTGCGGTCAAAAGACGATAAGCGAAATTTTTAATTTTTAATTTTTAAATTGAGTGATTTAATGTAGTTTTCGTAAAATTTTCTCTAAGAAATGTTTTGAGGAATGAAGAGCATTAAGTTAACAGTGATAGTGATAAAAAAAAATACATCAGAAAACGTTACCAAGAGCGTTTTTTTGAGGATCAAACAAGATAGGACGAAGTTGCATCCATAAATAGACCCAATTTGGGGACAATAGACCCATATTACATACATTTCCCTCGTGAGTTATTGTCTTAAAAAAAGTAAGTTTTTCAACTTTTCGTGGTTTCTGATAGCAAACGACATGATAAGCATATCTAAGCATACCATTTAGCAGTAGAATATCGTTTGCAGGTAAATTCATTGATGAGTTATGATTAAAAACGTAATCGATGGCTGCATATTAGACCGAGGTTAGGGACGTATACCCTATATAGTGTAATAGCAGGAGCATCGATTGACACTGATAGCTCGACTTTGTTTACCTTTGTTACATTCGACGTAATGAAAATTTGCTCTTGAATTACCCATCGCTAAGTTATTTTCAATTTTTTTTCTACCCAAAATTAAGTTCAATTAACTCAAATTTGGGTATATCGCATTTTACTCAATTTTGGCTTCTCGTACGGAACTAGACGGTTGAGTCGAATCTTTCGTTCTATTTTTGACAACAATAGCGAGAGAAAATGAAACGGGCAGAGGTCAAATAACTCAAATTTGAGTTCAAAAAACCCAAGCGGTGGGTAGTTTTGTTTTTCTGTGTAAGACAGTTTCTTATGGGAATTTTCCGAATTTTCGGTGGAGTGAAAGCCATGTTTCACGCACAGTCTGACGTTTGCTTATGGATTTTCTCATAGGAGTAAAGAGCTACAGAGTCGCCGTCAACGCCAATTGTTTTGATTTTACGGGTCGTACACTCAAAGGATTTTCAAATCTAAATAGATTAAAAGTTACGCTAAATTGCAACTCTCCTGACCGACGCATAGCTTGATATAAAGAGAGAGAATGCTTCAAGAGTCAAACTTCGTCAGCATCGTCGTGTACAGCCTCCGGGATCGCGCTTTGGCCGTCGTATTTTGTTTATCATCGCGATTTGGAGTCATTACCTTCTTGTAAGTCGATAGTCCGGCTCGTTTTTTGGCTCGATGCACGGTTGTAGACGATACACCCAGCTTATTTGCGGCATCTCGGAGAGAGAGGTTAGGGTTTCGCTTGAAACTACCGGCAACTCTCTTTGTCGTCTCAGCGGCTTCCGGTTTTCGATTTCCCCCCGATCCAGACTTCCTGGCTGTCGACAAACGTTCCCCAAACACTTTAATTACATTTGTAACGGTTGATTTGGCAACTTTTAGCGATTTTGCCAACTTTGCGTGCGAGTAGCTCGGATTTTCGCGATGCGCGAGCAAAATTTTGATACGCTGCTCTTCTTGCTTGGACGGCATTTTGACAACTGAAGAGTGAATTCCAAAATCAAAATAGGAGCAACATTCTACACACACACCTTCAAAATGAGGGGTGTTCAGGTTTTTTAAATGCAAAATTGAAAAAAAAAAGGTCAAGTTGATATTTACCAAATTTTGACCGTATTACCCTTAAGTATAAAAATGGTTTATACGTGACATAGCATTAAATAGAAATATACCTGAAATGCATACGTACGATTTATTTAGAATGCTTTTATGGCTTCTTTTTTAGTGCGTGATCTTAATTTTTGTTTACATATGAAATAAAAGCTAGTCATGAAGAATAGTTTATTCATAACATAACAGTTTCTTTAGAGGAAACCAATAAACTAATCAATCGCAGCTCCCAGCACAGATTGACGAATCTACGGAAATTCCCCCACGGCCTGGCCTGAACGCAGCTTGAGATCCTCGTTGAGATCGATACCAAGGGAAGATGTAAAGGATCTGACGTTGCTGCTGCTAGTTGACTTGTTTTGTTTTTTTTCTCTAATTTCGGACGAGTTTGGCACTTGGTATATACACTGAATAAATTCTCCATCTTTATTCGGACTTAGCATACTTTTGAAAGCAAATTTTAATCGGAATAATGTTTATATATTGGCTAATCGTAGAATGCTTAAAATTTAATCTTGTTTCGTTTTGTAATATTTTTTAGTGTAAATAGAAATCCTCTCCTCTGAGCAGAGATGCCAGGCTTAAAAAAATGTCTGGCGAAAATCTGGCACAGCAAATTAACATAGGAAGCTGTCAGTTTTCTCAAAAAATCTGTCTGGCAGAGTAAAAATTTCTCTGGCTGTGCCAGATAAATGTGGCAACCTGGCAACGCTGCCTCTGAGGAAGAGATGTGTATAGTCGCTATATTCATAGTCTGGCGGATAGAATCTCGGGGAATGAGGTACAGAGAGAGGTGAAGCAGATCGTGAAATATTGTTGTATTAGTAAACCAAAAAATCAACGTAAATGCAAGTAGTGACGTCACTAATTGCTTGTATCGTACAGGGGTTTTACTCACACAACTTAACCGATTGCTTCACCTCGGTAATCCAGCTCATTGAATCTCGGGAACCAATTGAGCTGTCAAATAGCGAAATAAATCGAGCAAATCACGACAAACAACAGAAAAGAGCACATCATCAATATATTGCAAACAAGATTCGCCTACGCAAATTAATACCATCTTTGGGTTTGGGAAAGTTTCCCCTATGCGATGATGCTGGTAATTTGCGTTCTTTTGGCGTGGAAAGAATAATCAACGAATTGTTTATAAAATTGATAGTACCTTTTCAATTGCTGGTCTACAATATATTGAATTTGTTTCGCTTTTTGATAAATCGAAATTCTATCCGCCAAACTATGAATTTAGCGACTATACACGGTAAGAAAAAAGTTGGAGGGTTGTGTACAAGACACAACCGCATTGTTGACATAGGACTACGAAGTTTTTTACGGTTCGGACGTTTTCGAAGATGTCACGCAGCAAGAGAATGCATACGATGAGGGTTTCTCAGTTAATGAAAGTGAAACGGAAAAAATGTTCCGCAATTGTATCCTCCCTATTCGTACACACCGGAAGATCGAAGGCGAATGTCACTTCGACTTGTTTCATCTAGGAACCATTCTCTGATGACTGTGTTGGGGAAGCAGCACATGCATGTACGTAATTGGTGGATTTGTTAGTTATTTAGAAGCTTTTGGACAATGCTTGACATTTACCACTTTTTCAATAGTTTCAATTTAAAAATCAACAGTCAAGAGCATTGTTATCGATGCGTAGAAATGTTTCTGATCGATTGGTTATAAAATAATTGAATTTGGTCCAGGGGCAGCTAAGTTATTAACGTTCAAAATCTTTCATAATTTCATTTTTCGCTTTACATAAATTGTATCCCCATCTTCCCGAAAGACGTAGTCCTACGTTAAAAGTACCCAACGGAAAGTTCACTTTTGCCTACTTTTGACTAGTTTGTC